TCTTCGCCCGTTTCTCCGTTTCCATAGACGACGCGAGGCTCGCATAGGGAAAAACATCGCAAACATACTTGCCCCATTTGTATGGTTCAACTTAATGCGAGAGATGCATTTCTAATTCAATTTTTTAATCGATTCGAGAGGAGACAATTTTATCATCTTATCTTTCCAATTTTTTAAAAATTCTTTTCTCAACTTGAATTTAATTAAAATTTGCACGTTAAATACATTTGAAAAGAATTTGCAATCGTCAATCATCGCATATCATAAGATCTGAATTGGATAGATTTTCAAAGGTTGGAATTGTTTGCTACAGGGAAAATAACTGACGGCGTCGTCGAGAATCGATTCTCCCGATCGGCCTGGGTGTATCTCGCTAAGAGAACATAAGAAAGAAAATTAATGTGGAAAAACTAATAACACTCGGAACATTTTCTGCAGAGATTCCCGCACGCGCGTCCTTCTCCCACCCGTAGATAGAAATTACGAGGACGCTGGCAATAGGGGCCACCGGGCTTGGTGATCGCAACATTACGGATGTATAGGCCAATTTGTAAGCAATCCAACTTACATTCGCCAGGCAATATTATATCTTAACGTTATCTCTCTCTTCTTGTGACTATATTCTCTCTCCCCTCTTTCTTGTATCCGCATGCAACCGTCTTCATTTTTATGCGGGAGGTAATTGTCGTCATCAAAATCAGAAATGTGTATCGCGTTGTAAACGTTACACGCAGTCCGATAACTCTAGGATAATGATAATGAACACAAAAGTTGCGTATCTCATTTTTTACTGTTGAATTAAAATTATTTTATTTTACCGATAATATTTCGTATCGATTATCATGAAATATAATTGCTCAAAAATTCGATTTCTCAGAATATTTGATGAATATTTTTAAATCACTTGTGCTATAACAATTATTTAGAACTCTTAATATTAAGAAATTTTGTAATTGTATTTTATATCTAAACAAAAAATTCTTCATAATTTTCCATGCATCATGTAATCGTATTTTAAATATGCATATTTATCTTGATATTATTTGTACACATTGTGACATTAGAAAATTTTGTTAAAAAGAGGAAAGTTCGCGCACAGAGAGATTCCAGCGGAGAAGAACAATAATCGGATACATCGAGAGTCCTATACGTCGCGCAAAAAACGACACTTTAAACGGGGGTTGGAAGACGCACGCGGATAAATAGGCGGGTGATTTATGAAGTGGCGAAGAGACACGTGTCTCTCCTCCGTTCTCCTCCTTCGCTCACCTTAAAACCTCGACGAGGCTGCCACAAGCCTCCGGTCCTCACGCAGGGGTTGCGGAGGGGTCTCTCTCTACCGACGGTTTTGGACCAACATCTGCCCCCGAAAAAACAAAAGCCCATTGTCGCTAACGACCGGTCGCGCGTCTCTTGTTTCTAACCGAGCGCTTTTGAATCGTAGGCGAATAACGGATTCGAGAGAAGCTCGTCCATTCAGACTACTCCTTCCTTTCGCTCTCTCGCTCGACCTCTCCAATCCGTCCAGCTCGGCCGATTTTTTTCCCCTTTTTTTACCCGCAACAGAATGAGACGTGGCCAGACGTTATATCAGAGTCGCCCGGGGTTTTATCGAAAATTTTATCGGATTTTTACCGTCGTTACTTCTCTCGTGTTCGACTGTCAGTCGAGCGACCAAGCGGACAAGCGCGATTAAAATCTCGCGTTCCTCCGAAGAATACGGGACATCGTCGATTGTCTCGTCCAAACGCGTCCCGACACACGGGAGATTTTGCGCACTTATCTCGCTTCCTGTGCTACCGTCATTCTTCCGGTGAAAAACGAGAAGCTGTAGGATGCACAAGAACGGCGAGAAAAAAAGCTCTACAATTCTACCAGACCGAATCTGAATGGTAAAGGTCCCTCCCCAAAAACAGATTCTTATCGGAATGCTTAGATTCGTGAAAATATTTTCCGACTTATTGAAAAGAGTTCTTGGTCCATCGTCAAGAAGGAAACGTGATATCGGAAATGTTTCAGTTGAATTATCTTCGTTATTGAAAGACGCTGACAGAATTACATGAGCACGATCAATTTTTGAGGAGAATAATTCTCGTGATCAGTAAACGCATGCAAAATATGATACGGTAGGATCGTATCGTCTTAAAATATGTATACACATTGTTAATTAATCGAAGAATTTAACGAATAATTACGACAATTTTATTTGACAATCAGTAACAAATTCAAAATGATTAAAGTATTTGATGTAAGAAAAATAAGAAATAAATGAATTCTCCGCGTGCGAAACAAATGAAGATTTTTCAAATGACGGAATCGATCGCAAACTTAAGTTCGGCCCACCGATCGAGGTGCAACGTGGATCCTAAAGGGTTGAAACCCGCTCGAGTTTGCGCCCTGGCCAATGGTCAAGCGAGCTCCGCCCAGAAAGAATCGAACGCTGTCGGCGGCGCCGAAGAAAAGCGCGAAACGAACGAAAGAGAGGAGACCCTGGCAGCAAGCTATAGGGGTAAACAAACAGGGGTTGGCGCAAAGGCCGCAAAAAAGAAAGAAACGCACGAAGAAGAAGAAGAAGAAGAAGAGCGGAGATCCCTCGAGAGAATCACGCTGTATAGGAGCGAGATGGGGATACACGAAACATATTCAGAAGAGAGGGAGAAACTCTCCGAAGGGTCGCAGAAGGGAGGCGAAGGAACGGGGGTAAGAAAACGACTGCCAAGACGGTGGAGGGTTTTTCTCGTTTCGTCGCGAGCCTGGCAGCCCCATTTCGGATAGAATATAGATACTCTCGACTCGTCGAGCCAAAGAGATCGATGTATGAAACTACACTCCTGCCAATCTCTATGTTAATGCGCGAAACGTACGAGAGAAAGGAGACATAAGACGGTCGCGGGAAGACCGTTCCGCTGTAGTTTCTCCTGAAGGACACTCAAAAGTGAATTGTTACGTCTGCGGCTGACCTCGCGGGCCCTCTGCCCCTCGGACGACGGTGAATTATAACGGTTGCGTAAAGGGGAAATTAGTTCTGTTTGTTACGGAGGAAAGTCCGTTCGCTCGGATTAGGCGAGCGCCGTCTGCGAACGTTTGGAAGAAAGGAAATTACGGGGAATTGTGAATCACGCGAAAAAAGACATTTCTTTAATTCGAGACCAAATTTTATAGAACATTTTTATAGGATATTTTTTATTATAAACAATGATAAATTATTAAATTAAGGCCATGTGTAACGAGCAATACGATATTATTTTATTATTGAGAAGAAAATTCTTAATTTGAAATAATAATTATACAAACGTTTCGAGCTCTACTTGCTCCTCTTCAGTGCGCAAAAAAATAGTGATAATAAATAACGATAATAAATAAATACATAAAATTCTAATAAAAATCCGCAATACATAGTCAATATAAGTTATATAGTTGAGTCATAGTTAAAACGCAAAATATATTTACAATGAATTGAGACCATTAAAATAGTTCAACAAAGTAAGAACCCAATTAGAAGCAGAATGATTCGTCCGGTTATTCATAAAATATATTAGAATTATTAATAAAAACTTGGAGTGACACTTATACATTACTCCAAATGAACCACTTATCGTTATTTGACGAAAGTCCCTCGATCTGGCAATGATTATGTTCATCCTCTCCAAATTATTTGATATTTGTTAAAAATTGTTCCGAATAACTTGAGATGACGATGCTTCTAATTGTTGTTGGCCTTATTGTTCTAATATATTTTATGAATAACCGGACGAATCATTCTGCTTCTAATTGGGTTCTTACTTTGTTGAACTATTTTAATGGTCTCAATTCATTGTAAATATATTTTGCGTTTTAACTATGACTCAACTATATAACTTATATTGACTATGTATTGCGGATTTTTTATTAGAATTTTATGTATTTATTTATTATCGTTATTTATTATCACTATTTTTTTTGCGCACTGAAGAGGAGCAAGTAGAGCTCGAAACGTTTGTATAATTATTATTTCAAATTAAGAATTTTCTTCTCAATAATAAAATAATATCGTATTGCTCGTTACACATGGCCTTAATTTAATAATTTATCATTGTTTTTATTGTCATACGAGCTTGAGCATTGGTATGTGATGTTTTGATTAGGTATTAATTTTGCATTGTTTTTTATTATAATTATTATCGTGCTTCAATTATAATTTTACTTATATAATTTTTTTTCAATTTTAGTAGATAGAAATGTAATAGGGGCAAAACTAACATTTTCAATTTCGCTGAAATATCTGTAATAGTTTTTACTTCATAATTTAATTAACATTTATTAAAAGTTCTTTACGACTACCGGCGAAACGAAATCACACAGAGCCGTTCGTTTTATACCTCGTCAACGGGATTACAGCTACAGCCGGTTAATATAAGTATCGTAAATCGTAATGATTAATCGTCATTGCGAATAACGAGCGAGTTACATGTGTCTACATTTGATTATGCAATGGTACCTATAACACGTAAATATCGATAGTAATAAGCTGATAGTGCGATATCGCTTTCACCATGATTCGCAGCCGGAGCCGGGAAACGAATAATTGAAAGGTTCTTTGAGGCATAATTGCAGTAATACGTTGTTATAACACACACAATTGAATACCACACACGACGAGATCCCGCATCGAGCGTATAACTTTATAATTGCTGATATAGGAAATTACTTCTTTCTCGTATACTAACTTTCTCTAAAGAAATGAAATATCAAAATACATTAAATTCCTTTAGATAGAAACTCCCACACAAATGTCCGACGCCTTATTTTCGAAAAAAATCATTCAATTTAAAAATTTCAATAGGATTCGATAAAAAAAAAACAAACGACATCGTTACCTAGAAACAATTAAGTTTAACTGATTGCGAGTAAATTAGAATTGAATAGGAGAAAGCGTGTGGCGAACTTAATCAAAGTAACTCCGCTTAATCAAAGTTCCAACGCACTTCTCTAAAGGAAACGCGCGCCGCTTTCTGTTGCAGCGGAAACCTCGCAAGGTACCACGTCCCCAGACACCGTCCAATGCGGGGGCTGTAGGGCGTCCTACCCCCTCGGCGAGATCGTCCGGTTCATCGAGCACAAGGTCAACCACTGTCGCAGCACCCTCCAGGGTTGTCACAGTCCGCCGGCGACGGCCGCGCCGGAGGACTCCGATCCCGAGGACGCTCTCACCCTCAAGACCGCCGATCCGGACTCGAAGTTGAACTCGGTCCCCAGTATCTCCGCGCCCATCAACAAGAGGAGCGGCCGGTTGGAGAGTCCGCCGACACCTCAGGGCCCGGGCCCGGATACCGGGAGTCCGATCGACCTTAAGGCGAGCGCCAGCTCGACGCCAAAGAGACGGACGGAAGCGCCGGATGAGGACAAGGAGGACCTTCCGAAGAAGCAGAAGACAGAGTCCGTGGACGCCGACACGAACACGGTCAATTCCGGTAAGTTGTCGCGTTTATTTCGTCTCTCGTTGAAAACAGTTAAATAGAAAGCAATATCTTTTTTCACTTTTTAGCGATTTCTTTGGTAAATATAGTGTGTAAATAGTACAAAAAATCTTATGTACTTATTTTGTTAATATTATATATTAACAAAAATAAGAATTATGTAACTTGTCTTTAAAAAGAATTAAGTTGTCGCGTTTATTTTGTCTCTCGTTTAAAACAGTTAAATAGAAGTAAATTAAATAGAAAGCAATATCTTTTTTCACTTTTTTAGCGATTTTTTGGTAAATATAGTGTGTAAATAGTACAAAAAATCTTATGTACTTATTTTGTTAATATTATATAGGTATTAACAAAAATAAGAATTATGTAACTTGTCTTTTAAAAAAATTAAAAATATACTTGGAATAAATAAATTCGACTTAGATATCGCAAGTTAAAATAGTTTCGATAATTAAATTATGACACTGTGATATATATTATTTATTGCGTAAAAAGAGAACTAATTAGCATTTACATCGAAGCATAATAATATAACAGCTTCAAGAGATATTGTAGGTAGAACTCTAATTAATTCTAATTAATTCTTTGGCTATAATGATATTAATGAGCTTACTAAAAATAGTTTTACTTTTTCGTGCCAAAGTATTATTGCATATTTTATTATTATTGCAACATATAAATTATTGCACTTTATATATTGGAATCGCTTGATTAATCCAATTTTGTATCGAGAAATGAGATGTGTAACGAGACTTAGCAGCAATAACGCTAAAGCGAATTGATTCCGCTTTCCAATTTCACGTCCGACGTCTGTACCATAGATTTTGAAATAGACCGACGGGAAAATGGGTCAGGGTTTTTTTTTCACGCTACAACAAATGTGCGTGAATCGAGGAATCCGTTGTGCCGAGTCCGAAATCACATGCTGGTTTGGCGAATTGTTGGTTGCTCGAAGGGGGTTGGGGGGGCTAGAGGGTGTTTTAAAGTACAGTTATAGGGGGCTGTCATGTGATGTCGAACCTGGCCGAGCGGATACGAACAATAGATCGGTGGATTCGATTTTTGAATTTAAACCACCCGCTCGGGAATTGGGGTGAACCTGCCCCCCCCCCCCCACCCCTTTCGTGTCTTCCCTCGCGTCGTTTCTCTCTGACCCCCTTTTGTTGGGAGCTACATTGTCATACGTCGAAGGGTTTAACGTGCGAGCGTCCTCAATCGGCGACGCGACACGTTGGATACGAAAGTATTACGTTATCTACTTTGCGTTCGGTTTCTTTGTGTAAAATCGAGTTCAATGATCGAACCGATCGCTGTCGACTCTTTTTTGTGACCTGCGGTTTACAAACTCTTTTTAATGATTGTATTCCTATAGAGATTCCGATAAAGATTTTAGAAAAATATTCCTTTGAAATTTTCTATTAAATCTATTAACAAGTGAAACAAGATGTATCACTGATATGATAATTTTTTTTGCGAATTGTCGCAAAATTATTAAATTTATGTTTAAAAAATTTATATTTGAAAAAATATAAAATATTTTAATTTATTATAATTTTATATAGCGAGATTCCATCGTGGTTTCTAATTTCACACCGGCGGCATTCTCGATGTGAATCCACTGCTTCCCCTTTGAGATTCTTATACAGTGCTTAACTGTGCAAATTGACGTAAGAACCTGCTTTGCAACGCAGAGTTTCGCCTTCGCCCTCGATAACAGAGAGAACCGCTGGCTCTTTATGTATTTTCCTTTGTAATTAAATTATTTTCATCGTATGTTATTTATTAAAGAGAAGTCTACATTACTCTCACGGGATATATTCCCGATTATTTTGAGCTTTACGCGTAATTTTTTCAAGATACATTTTCAATGAAATATTGCATCTCGTCGAGAAGGAATTTTTATTATAAATAATAATAGAAAATTTCAACGATTAAGGAATATTTTATAATTAATTTTACAAAAAAAATTATACTGATTCTATTTACAATTATATATTTTTAATATCTCAGTTTATTATATTAAGCAACTAATCGTATGATAAAAAATCAATATTTTTAGACACACACACACACACACACACAATGTTTTTAATTCTAAAACTTTTCCGAAGACAATCTAAATCTGCTCCCATATATCGAAACACGGACGTATATAGTTAAATTCGTGTCGTCTCGGGGAAACAAAGGCGGCCATCACGAACAAACATAATTGTGTCGCCCGAGAAGCAAAACGCATCGGCGGTCGTTCGTACACCGGTGTCTCTTTAAAGTTTCATCACGCTTCGCGACGCTCGTCCCAAACCCTCTTTTGCCAGCATGTCCCAAAGAGAGAGAGAGAGAGAGAGGGAGTTAACCCTTTACGAACTGGTCCACGATCGCTATAAGAATACACTCGCTCGTGCTCATCCGTTCGTCCGTCGGGGATATTCCCCGGTTAAGCCCCTTTTGTCGCCTTTTTTGTCGGATTTTTGCCGGACCGGACAACCACGTCGAAAAGCCCAATTAGAATCGTCCTATTGTTCGGCCACGTGGTCCGCACGAGCCGTCCACACGCTCGCGTGTGTGCTTGCACGGCTGCGTTGCACGAGGACAGGTAAAACGGGTATCAGAAACGCGCAAGTGGGGTGGCGTCAGACAGGATGTGCTGGAACCTTCTGTTCGGCCGCAATCCCTCTTTCGTGATTTTTTATCGATCTTTTTCTTTTGTGATTATATATACACGCGAATCGTTCGAAAATTGGTGGCAAAATTTTCTCGCGAGAGAGATACATTTTCCGTGTCATTTTTGTCTAACCGCATTCACGGCGGATGCGAGTTTAGAAAAATCCGTGATGCAAGGAAAATTCGGTTATAGAGGAAAATAGAGAGCGACGGGTGTAAGAGAATATAGCGTTTGGAGAACCGTGGTGGGACAATATACATTTCTCCGAGAAGGGCCGAAGGGAGAGAAGAAGAGAAAACGACGAAAGGAGAGCGATAATCCGTCGAAATTGACACCAACCAGCGCTCCCGGTGAGATGCAGATTTGATCTATCTGTCACGTTTGTCTCCGGGAATATTAATTCTCGTCCGCGGGTGAGGTTTTTCCCCGGCAGCTTTATGGTTCCTTTCCGATCCCCCTTCTTTCCTTCGTAGCAGACTCGACGACTTCCCGGACCGCCCGAGGTGAACGGAGAATTGCTTGCGAATTGGCTGTCGCTCGGGATCCAGCGACTTTTTCGTCCTTCTTCCTTCCGTTCTTCTCCCACGGAAGGAAGTCGACAAGAACGACGCAGCAACGAAAACGTCCGAAAAGTGACGTCGGAAACTTTTTCGGCCATATATTTTGCATATCATCGGAACCAGAGAGAGAGAGAGAAGTTGTACATATTTTAGCATTAGTTTTTCAGCATTTCTTTTTTTTCGATTATTCAAATGTCTAATGAATAACGCGAAATCTGATCGCGCGCGTTTACTTATAGACGAACACTGCCAATCTTATTGTCGATGGAGATAGAATGGCAGAATGTGAGAAGAATGGCACATGCTATTATAAAAATCAACGTGGAAGCCTTCAGTATGGCGGATCCTCTGAGGAGTTTGCTTCCGTTTTGACTGCTCCCGGTTCATATTTTACCTTCTTTCTTCCTCGACAATGACAAGGTAGCTGCGTTCTCCGCTTCCTTTGCACTTACTTCGCGTGCTTCACATAAAAGAACCCCGCGAAAAAGAAGGAGAGAGAGAACGTCATCAAAGCTTACAAAGCAGAAGTTCAATATACGCGACTTCAGCGCGCTACGACGCGTTTAAATTACCAGGTCGAGTGGCTTTTTGATTAATTTTTTCTCTTACGTCCTCTATGTAAGACGAGTCCGTCATCCGTGTTTTCCTCTCTTTCCTTCGGCGGTGTAACACTGCAGAAAAGAAAATTGAAGTAGCTGTAAAGGCAAATTTCTCGCGATGAGAAATCGACGGCATTAAACATTTCGTCGAAACACCTAATCCTCCCGTAGAAAAAAATGTTTGCGCCTCGATCGTCGAGCAAAAATGATCTTGTAATGTTCTTGAAATGAAATCGAATAATATGTGAAAATGTAATTTTAGATTCACACTCGGCGGCTATTGTCCCGGTTTAGTCTTTGTGCCAACTCATGAGAAAGTCGAATAATAAACTCTTTTAATAAATTGAGACTCGACCCTCGAAGGGTTAATAGCCCACGGTGGTGCATTCGCGAGATTTGCGGTTTGGACGGACAAACTGAGTAACGGAGGACATAAAGGCTCGGTGAAGCGCAGTCTGACCAATCTTTTCGCGGAACTATAGTGACCACAAGGAGTATGTTACGCGACCATTCCAATATTCGTTTAGAGAGAATGGAATCGCGCCGGTCGCTATATTCGCTCGATTTTAACGGCTTCGGCTCTTTGCCGCTCAACCCACCGCGACACTCTGCGGTGGGTTGAGCGAGTCGTAAATAAAAATTTACTGGAAAAGACTGCTAGCTACGGTTACACGCTCGATGTAGACCAGATATTAATAGCGTATGTGTATCGTACATACATAAATAGATCATTAATTTCATAAATTATATACAACTTTTTTCTTTCGATGTGTTATAGTGTAAAATAATCATTATTTCATCATTTCATATAAAATGGTTTGTCCTAAACAAATATAATTTATATTGTGTATCTTTTTGCAATATTTTCGTTACTTTTCATTGTTACATTTTCAAAATTTGTATATTTTATTTTTCATGAATTTATTTGTTTTTATTGATTAATCTGGTTGAATGCGTGCCGAATATTTCTCGTTACTGCGTGAAATTGATCCCGGTTGGTTATTTAATTAATGGGTCCAGTAAAATGATTAAAATCACCCGCAAACTACCCACCTGGACATGATCCGCTGCGCGTTGTCCCTTTTAAGTGCAGCCCTTGTATCGACGACAAAGTGCATACGTCGCATACGTCGGCTAATCGATATTTTAATATTGTCACACGCCATTCTGGATTAAAGGCCTTTGTGTATGTTTGTATGTGTATATCATGACGTCACTGGGCGGCAGATGTATCCCGTCCAAAAAGACTTTTCGAGAGCACGTTACAACGTCGCTTACACGATTAAAATTCGTTCATGGAAGTACGCACAATACTCTTACGCTTATGTGTATGTGTGAGATTATAAATAATTTAAAGCTATATATTTCTCTCAGTCTCTATATATATTTTTCAAGCATTAATATCGCATAAAAATTTTAATTTTTGTTAATTAATATACTAGTATACATTATAGTAGTTTCAGAGCTGTTTAAGATAGACATTTGTTTGACAGCAAATGCCATTTATTTTTATTAAGTTGAAATTGAGGGAAATATATAACTTAAAATCGTATCTTGTAAATGTTAGCAATATTTAATTATAATTTTATTTATCGCATAAACATATTTTTATTCACAAATTTTGTGAAAAATAATTTATTTATCGACTCTATCTTTCTCTCTCTCTCTCTCTCTCTGTCTCAGTATCTCAGGAAGACATACTTAGACGACCAAGGGAAACGTATTTTCAAAAAGTATTGCATCGCAAGGGGCGGAAGGGTAGATTCGTGTCAAGTCTTCCGTAAAAGAGTTGAAAGGAAGTATTCGTAGGATGACCAGGCTCGAATCGTTGTTAAACAATGGCGTTCCAAACGATTTGCCCGTAAACGTCGCGCAGGCCAATTTGTCGGGCAATTTCTGGAGAAAATCGTTCGGTCACTATCGTCGGAGGGCCAAATCTCATGTGCAGACATATTGTTCATTTGATTCGGCTGCCCTTTCTAAGTACGAATCGTTGTCATCTTTCAAACGTTCTCCACGACTATATGTTGTGACAAAATGTTGGATTTACAAAGTATTTATTTTTGCGTATTTTTAGGAGGTGAAAAAATGAAGATATCTATTAGCAGACGTCTTAATTTCGTTCCAACATTACTGTAGTCTTCAACATAAATAAAGATTCTTGAAAAAGAACTTGTAGCAGAGTGTGCGGTGTAATTTATTGCGCGACATTGCATCGAAACGGTGCAATTGTGTAACGTATATTGAACTTTCCATTTATTCGATAAAAGAGTCGTCGTAAACGATAGCGCGCGTAGCACTCGCGTTTTCCCAGCTAGTCTGCCATTTCTCGCGGACACACGCGGCCGGGGAAATCTGAAGAAATAATCCTAACGGATGGCCACCCGCGAGGTTTGCATATGAAAAGCGCCCGGCCGTGAATCGATACACCTTTATTATGCCCGAGCACTTGCTTATCTCCCGCTTCTCTCCCTGTCTCTCGCATTTTCCCTCCCCGGGGAAGTCGGCAATATTTTCGACTTCCGGGGAAAAAAGGCCCGGTCGGTTCGGAAAAGGAAGACTCGGGGGAAAGCAGCGTGAAACAATAATTGTTCGAATTTTTGCGCTCGGCGTCAATTCCGAAGATGACTCGACTTCTTTTTTCTTTCTCTTCCTATTTCTCATTTTTTCTAAATTAATTTCTAAAACTCGAGCAAATTTGTACTTCACGCTTGTCTCGTCAAGGGATCAGGCTGGAGATGACTCGAGAAAAAATCGAAACCCGATTCGAGCTACCGATCTTTCCTTAGTATTTCTACCGCCGTTGAGCAGTGAAAATTCTGTGAATCTTTTAAATTGCTTTTTAGCTTGAAAAAACGCAATATATTAACGAGTAGACAAGTTACGAGAAATCTATTTTACAAAAAAAAAGTTTTGAAAATTTTTGATTCGATTACACTCACATCTTTGCAGGAATTACAAATTTTTTCAAAATGTTACTTCTGACTAAATTACATACAAGATATTTAATATCTTGAGTCTTTTTTTAGAAAAAATGAAGAAGTATAAGATATGTTTCGAGAAAGAAATTATTTAAAACTTCAATTAAAAACACATGATAAAACTTAAAAAAGACGATTTAACTAAATAAAATTGGAAGAGCAGTCGCCCGGCAAGCGAAAGGTCTCGGGTTCGGTTCCCGATTCAGCGACTTTCGGATCTATATTTTTCTCTTGCATTTATTTATTTTCCGTAGGGGGGTTATAGGATTATTGAAATTAAATCTCAAAAATGAGATTATTTTATATTTTAAATCTTAGCCGTGACCAAGTAAAATTTGGTGCCCTGTGCACAAGATATTTAATTCTAACGAGAAAATTTAGTATCGTTAGGATAACGCACTGTCTTCCGCGAATGGCTCTTATTGCCTATCTTACACTTTAAAATTTATATTTATATTACAGAGCCGTGTTAAACTCTTATTTTTAAATAAAATTGGAAATAAAATTCTTTTGAAAATAAGATTGGAGCAGAATAAAAAAATATACTGTATAAAAATATATTTGATATTTTATATTACACACGCTTTCCCCTGAACGAGAGAACTTTTCAATTCAAGAAATCGTCGAAGATCTCTCGCCTGTTCCTCGACGATCTTTGCGTCTCATTCGTCCGCGACTTTCTCCTCGCTGTTTTCGATTGAAAAATCGCGCGCATCAATGGAATGAAATTGTGACTCTCAGTCTCGCTGCGACGATACAAGCGTAATCCTAGTGAAAGGTCAGCAAGACGCGAAAGAAAGATTCCTCGCCCACTATCGGGCTCGTTATTCTACTTAGCACCTTGTTACATACGACGAAATGTGTTCTATTGTGTATTGTCGCGAGATAAACTATCATTTACCGGCGTTGACGCGCCGTCGAGTTGTTCCTAATTTTATATTTAAGATTCATTGTCTTCACACTTCCTGCCATCATCGAACGATCTCTTAAAACCACGCATTTCTACGAGCTGCTTTGACATGAGTAATTTCATGTCAATACGTTGCAATGTAAAATTACGATTACATCAGAAGACAAGGAATTGACTGTGTCAAATCACTGAAAAAAAATTGTTTGTAAGATTCATGCGGATTAATTAATATATTCTTTTTGCAGTTTAAATAAATTATTTGTCTCTATGACAAATAAAAAGAATTTTTAATCACTAAAAAGTAACGTTTCTAATTTCTAAGCACTGGTACAAGAAATATCCCTCGATCCGATTGTTCGGCTTTAAGATGATCCTGAAGCTTCATTCAAACAAAGATCACTCCTACCCCGAACGGCCATTTAATTAGGACCACTTTATTTTGCTGCAGCCTTTTGTCTCTCCGTCTGACTTGTCCTTGCCGTCGCCCAAGTATCGCGAGACCGTGAGGAGATATAATGGGGGAAGAGAGGGCGAACTTTTTAATCTCTTACAAGAGGAAGTACTTCTCTGTCCGCTACAACGCGTATTTATTTATTTCGTCTAAGAAGTTTCTTCCCGAACAACACGGCGTGCGTATTTATTCGTCCGATTGTGCGGGATTGCTCGCGTTCACAAATTCGTCAAGTCCGAATTGAAAGAGAAAGGAGTCCGTCAGAGAAAAGTTTTGTAGCTAAAATGTTTCTTTAAGATGCCCAAGACGTGCCTTATTCACGTTGCTCTGTAAAGATTGTATCGAAAACATACGTAATTTCCATATTCATGGACTAATTCATTTAGATATACAGCAGAATTCTTCTTTTTCTTTTTTTTTTCTTTTTTTTTAAAGATTGAGATAAAAATTATTGATGAATAATTTTACACAAGATTGTAATGTGAATATTAGAGAATTGTATTCAAATTTTCCCATATCATAATGTCAATCAAATTCCAAAGTACACGTTGTAAAAAAGTATTTCCATAAGAATGATTAATCGTTACCTTAGGCAATTCCGTAGTGTTTCTCGAGGCATGAATTTAAGTTCCTTCCCTCCTCGGGAACCCTAACGTCCGGCGTTACGATCCAAGAAAATATGCTTCCCGGGTAATGTTTCGCGGTGCTTTTACTCGCAAAATGAGGGTCGTTCTTAGGCGCGTGATGTCCTGCATCCTCGGTCTGTTATTTCTCCTCCTTTCGAGCGTCTATTCTTATCCTCGCCGTGTGTTGGGGGCGACGTTGGAATTAATAAAATCCCACGGATTCGCCCCAAACTTGCGGCACACGATGGACGTCTATCGCGCTGTTACGTGGGGCGTGAAAAATGGGCCGAAAATCTGATATTCCGGATTAAAAACATTGAAATTCAAAACCCGTCCCTCCCGCGTCATAAGCTCGCGCCATAAGGGGAAGGAGGGTCGAGAAGTCGTTAAGGGTCAGTTTCAGCCGCATGCCGTATACTAACCGACCCCCACGACCAACGAGGATATTATTTTTAAGCCCCCCCGCAACTCGTCGGGCCGAACCGCAATTTGACACAGACGCGCCGTTTGAATTCCGAATTCAATCGGCCGAGGCCGTCTCGATTCCGCGAAATTAAGGGTGGTTCGAAAATTGATAGCGGGACCTGAGGGAGGAGGCGTGCGCGCGCACATGTTGCACGTATGTTGCGTGCGTGTGCGAGTGTTTTACGAGCTGCCATCACATGCTCGTGAAATCACCGTGAAGTCTCGAATCGTCAGATTATTACGATATATCCAGGGTCTTATATAATCATCTTATTCGTGGTTCTAATCCACCGAATCATACCCTGATTTTACTAGCATAATTCTCCCTCTCCCGCTTTCTCCTTTTCAAATAAACTTTTATTTCCAAAATAGCTAATGCGCTGGAAAAATTCTCGGTTTAGAACTTAGGTAAATAATATTAAATATATGTATATATGTCTATTTTTGTTAAATATATGAGAGAATTAAATACGCAATTAATAATAAATTCATCTAGATCTTCAACAACGTGCAAACTCACAAAATCTGTTTCTATGAAATTCTGAATGTTAAAATAAAATAGTCGAAATGCGTCAATGACAGCAATGACTCTTAACCAGCGCGACGTTCGTATATCTGTTTCAGAGCCCAGATGGCTGCAGTGCTCGCAATGTTCCCGACGTCTGTGCTCGGCGTGGGAGCTTCTTCAGCACGTACAGAGCATGCACGGTGCTCGTCTGTACTGCTCCTCCTCTTCGTCGACAAACTCATCGTCGAACACCCCGGCGCCGAGTCCACCGACGCCTACGCCGACGCACGCGCATCATCTTAGCCCGCCGAATCATCTGAATCTGAGCGGCAAGTCAACCGGAAGTTCCTCGGCGGCGAACTCATCGGGCGGTACAAATACAAGTGGCAGCAGCGGTGGTCGACAGCAGCTTCAGACCTCGGCTTCTTTGTGGGAGATCCTCTGCACAGTTTCTTGAGGCTACCCCAGCACTTGGAGCGAAGTTTTCCGCCTATGTTCAGGCCCGACTTCCTCACCCTGAATCCTCTGGCAGGTTACAGAGGTCTCCAGGAACTGCAGACAGCCACGCGAAATCTGCAGAATCTCGGCGATCCGCTTCGCGGTATGGACGGCTTGAATCTCGGCGATCCGCTCGTACGCAGCTCGTTGGATTCGCTCAACAACGCCCGGAATCTCGCCAATTTGGCCGAATTGTCGCACGGTCGCGGCCTCGGCGGCCAAGCACATCCACCGCCACTCGAAGCGAACCTGGATTTTTACTCAGCGCGCCTAAGGAGCCTCGCTAATCCGTCCTTAGGCGCGGCTCCACCTACACCAAGCGGTAATCCCACAACAAATCCCCCTCCTCCTCCGGTACCACCAGTCCCATCGGTTCCTCTTGCCAGTAACGTTCAACAGCAGCAGCAGCAGCAGCAACAACAACAGCAACAGTCGCAACAGCAACAATCGCAATCTCACTCGCAAGTTCATTCGGTAGAACCGCCTAGTCCGGCCTCGGCCAACCCGCGAATCTGAGCCACGGTAATCATCAGAAGGAAAACTCGCCGCCCTGCTACAGCCAGAGTCCGGTGGGTCATCACAACAACAATAATTCGACCGACAGCGAGAAGACAAGCCCGCCGGTAGCTTCGACGCCGATAATTACCGACTCTTCGTCGGAAACAGTGTACACGTGCGAGGTCTGCGACAAGAAGTTTCGCTTCCAATCCAACCTGATCGTCCATCGTCGCAGCCATCGAGACAAGGAGAGACAGTACCAGCAACAAGAAAGCACGCAGGACGGCCAGAGTCCGCCGACAAGGTGCGAGGTGTGCGAAGTCGAGGTGACGAGCTTCACCGAGCTGAGGAAGCACATGAGGAAGGAGCATCAGGAGCATTTAAACTCGGCTGCCAGTCCTCAAGGTAGCGTCGAAACGGTACCGGACGACGGGTCCAGCTGTGACGAGAACATGGATCTGGACGAGTTGGAGGAGAACGAGCAGAAGACCGAGCGCGAAGACGCGGAGGAGAATACACCCGAGGATCTGAGCACCAATCAAGGACAGAGCGGGAGGAGAGCGGAGGTCGGATAGAGAAGCCGGCCAGTCTGGTAGGTGATCTTATGGAGAAGTTTGGATTGAGCAACATCGCCCAGTATTCCGAGGCGTATCGACAAGCGCTACAAGAGAACCATCGCAGCGGTTTCCTGAAGACCGATTCGCCTTGCAATCTCGCAAACTCTCTGAACAACAACAAAGAGAAGGAAAGCGCGCTCTCGCCAACCAATTTCAAACTCCTCGACGACGCCAAATATTTTTTCCGGCCAGGGGTTTCCTAGATCCTCGGGGCCGGACTTTGGCGGTCTCTGGCTACCCAGTCCGCACTACTTGGAGAACAACGAATTTCGGAAGGCATCCAAAGCAACGACGTCCAGCCTGGCGCTTCAGGGTCTGCCCAGCCCGTTGCTGAAGAAGGAACGGAGCGGCCGAAACGACACTTGCGAATATTGCGGCAAGGTCTTCAAGAACTGCTCGAACCTGACGGTGCACAGGCGGTCGCACACTGGCGAGAAGCCGTACAAGTGCGAGCTCTGTTCGTACGCGTGCGCCCAGAGCTCGAAGCTGACTAGGCACATGAAGACTCACGGCCGACACGGCAAGGACACGTACAGTGTCGCTTCTGCGAGATGCCGTTCTCGGTACCGAGCACGCTCGAGAAACACATGAGAAAGTGCGTGGTGGTGGTGCAGCAGGGCCCCAAGCTGGATATACCGTACCCGGTGATCAAGGACGAGGATTCGTCACTCAGTAGCAAAGATACTTGATCCTGGAACGGAAGCCTACCGCCGATCCCGCCGTTGTGGCCGCACAGGCCGCCTTACCCGGTGTACTGAAGACGTGGATCTTCCTCCTTAGCGACCTCGAGAAAGGGAGAGACACGACTGAATCGCGCAAGACTGTCTCGATCTCTGTCTTGAAGACGTCGACGATCTTGACAACGCGATTTCGGAAGAATCTCTCGCCGCAAAGTATCCGAGGTCACCTCTCGAGGAGAGGTGGTAGGTCGATGCGCGATCTCGAGAATCTCTCGACCAAACGGCCTGGAAATGGCCCGGAATTATTTAAAAAAAAAAAAAGCAACGGGAGATCTAGCAAAGCTGGAGTTTCGACTGCTTCGAGGAAGAGAGGATCCTCACTCGATCGCCGGGACGAAGGCAATGTTCACGTGACGCGAAAACAAGGAGACAGTATAAAGAGAAAAGGTGCTCGACGAGAAAGAAACCTGCTCCGCGTTTAACTAACTAAAAAAAATCGAACGAATGGTTACCAGTTTGCGAGTCTCAGCACAGCTATTTAAATTATGTATCGCTATAAATAGTTATAAATAACGCGGAAAAAGACACTATATAAATATAAATCTGCATATATATACATACACACACAGATATAAAGATATTATATATATATATATATATATAAAAAGTATATATATAATATAAATATGAAAGGCAGATACAAATATACAAAATATAAATATTATAAATAAGAAAACGAACGTAAATAAGTTCGTGACTTTATTATCACATTTGAAGATTATTTATTTAATAATAGATATATATACATATTGTATAACGTAATATATATGTATAAATATATTATGAAAACTTGCAACTCGCCGTGTATGTAACTATATTAGAAACAATCGGAGTGAAGTTCTTTTTGTACATTACACAATGTCGCTTCGTAAGAACGTGTCAATGGGACCGACGCGTATTTTTTTTTTCGAATGCATCGATTTCCTTAGCTCGTAAGAAAAATGGCGACTTTGATGATCCTGTACGTATTATACAATATACATAAGTATATATACATATACACATATATTTATATATACAAATATATTATATATATGTATAAGTATGTATCAATACTTAGGATATTGAGAAAAAAAATATCTGATTTAAACAATATATGAGAGAAGCTAGTATCTCTAAACTCTAGCTCGATCCTATGTACAATATATTATATCTATTATTATCGGCGATTCTATATCTTTATTAATATTATTATTGCCCCTATTATATTGTCTTTATTATTAATATTATTATTATTATTGTTTTGTAACATGATTATTATGTCATTATTACTATTATTATTACTATTATTATTATTATTATTATTAGCATTCTATTATTACGTTTGTCACTATTATGATTACGGTTGCACAGTGAGTTCAAAAGCGCCGCTTTCATTATTTTATTCCGATATTAAATTATTATCGCAGATGTTTTTAAAGATTAAGAAAATGCCAAAGTTGTTTAGGTTTATGGTTCGCTGATTTTGCATCGCGCGCGACGCGTTCGTCGAGGCGAAGGAAGTCGTTTATTATAATTAATCGCGAGTCTGCGGTTGAAAAATTCGGAGAAAGAAAGAAAAAAATTCCAATAATCGTGAAAATTTCACCCTCCTTCGACGGCCACGTCGGGACCTCATCATCAGCGCGCTTTGTTCGTTGTAATTATATTTATTGCCGTGTTACGGCTGAGATCGGACCGCGGATCCGGCTTTCGCAGGATCGACATCTCCGTACGTTGATCCTGCGAAAATCGTCCCGCGGCCGAACTCGAGGCGCAATCAAGAATCGAATTTCCGTTTTCTCTCGTCCTCGTCTGAAGACTGAAGCTTTCGCGGGCGACGTGACGATCGTTTTTCAAGTTTTTGCGTTCCATTTTAAATAGTAAAAAGTAAAATAGTTTTTTTTTCTTTTTCGTTCTCCTCAACGACGCCTCGTCGACGTAAACGTTTTCGGAGGAACTGTTCCTAAAGAGATATATATATATATATATATATATATATATATGTAGACAGTAAGGGTAAAAAAATAACTTTGCGACGTGTGAGAGATGAATGCGAGTATCGATTGCGTGTCTTCTTGTGATTTTATTGTGCGTGTTATCCTTCTCGTTCCGAGGATGTGAATGTTGCGCGTGTGTGCGTGAGAAAACATAAAGGCGATTTAAAAAAAACTCATATCAGATAGTTCTCTCGGTGTTAGACGTGTACGGCCCTAGATAAAAAAATCTCTCGTTATCTAGTTAAAAGTTTGTTAGATCGATTCCTGAAATACGTACATGCCAGGCTCTGCGTTTATACGACATACTGTAAATAATGACACTGCCCGTAGCGATGAGATTCGAAAGCAGAGAGAAAGAGAGAGAGAGAGAGAGAGAGAGAGTGAGTCGCGTCGAAAAGTTGTTTAATGATTATAACAGAAAGAGAGAAAAAAAAAAAGATCAACGTGGTGATTCCTCTTTTTCTCATATAATGACGCGCTCCGTCATTCGCGACGATCGAAGAGCGAACGTTTTTCAGGGAAGGGCGACCCTTCTCTCGAAAATTTGCGAGAACGACTAGAGGAAGAGCGAGAGAGAAAAAATGTTGGACGGAGCGCCGTATGTGTAAATCGACGAAATAAAAAAAAAGTCCTGCGGCAAACGTCATCATACACGAATACACGCATACTTTGATTTCGAAAAGTTCTCCCTCCTTCTCTTCTTGCCTTTCTTGTTCGAGAATTCATCCCACATAGGACCAAGTTCCCTGCCACACCGAAACAAAGGAGTGACACATGCAAATCTCGCGGCGGGCGATCATCGGGGCCGGCGAGACACGACGAGGACGAGAGAGCGAATTTTTATGCGAGGAATATATATTCTCGCGTTAGGGACACACGCAGCAAGATGCTGTAACCGCGATGAATGCGAATCCAGCATGGAAATTGCCACGGAGTTTTCTGCTCGCGTCAATCACGGGACACATTAGGCGTTTAAAAAAGAAGAAAAAGAAAAAAAGAAATCCGAGAAATATGATATTGCACAAATTTTCTCGATATTTCGATTAATTGATAATATTGATAATATCAATCCCGTCGTGTCTCCCCCGATCGATTTCTAACATTTCTACAGGGTAAATCATCGTAAAATGCTAAAGGATAATCCCAGAACGAACGTCAAGAGTATAATCGAGCGAAGTATCTAGGCAGTCTATATAATTTAAAGCTAACGAAATATTTCCTATAATTATAATAAGGAGCGAAGATCACATACAAGAAGGAGATTCACACACAGAGTCGATTATCGGGAGATAAATAAAAAAAAAAAAAAAGAGCGGTGAAACGATAATATCGTAGCAGGGAAATTGGATTTTTAGGAAATCTTCTGATCCAGGGTAAAATATAATCCGAAGCTCGGTTTCTAGGGACAGTACGTGACCGGGTTAAACCTGGCATTGAAACACTTTTAACCGAGGATCGACATTAAGGCAATACAAAAATAAAAAAAATAAGAAATCCAGACATCTCCGAGTAAATTCCGGCCAAGACTGGCGACAAACGTTGGCCGAGCTTTCCTCGCAGGGGTCCCTAATTGTAAACATAGCAGATATGGTGTATGTCTTGTGCGATTCAAATAAACGACATTGTTTTTAAATAATCTACACGAGTTTCGTTTCAAGTATTCTTACACCTCTCTTTTCCTCATTGATTACTCTCTTCCCCCATAGATTGTTCAACAAACTATATATAACATTCGTATATCTGTGTATATACATATAATTCAAAGTTTTCCCTCCAAATAAGCTATAAATATCCACGAACAGAATTTCTTGTTTTAAAATGCGTTTTAGATTCTGAAACGATTCAGATACAGATACATAGATCGTTTATGATTTCTTGCAATTTTTTAATTTTCGACATAATATTTCAGAAATAATAATAAATAGTGTGATGAATTTATTAAATATTCAAATTTTATATAAAAATTTCATCAATTTAAATATAGAAGTTATAATTATAAAAAGATTATTTAAATGATATTTGTGAATTTCTTTTTTTTGTATTCATAAAATTGTAATCGACTATATAATTTATAGATAATCATGACTGATGGATTATTCAGGACACGAAAGATTCTCCCAGCCATCTGTCTGCGCCATTCGTTTCCGATATGCCTCTGTCAGGCGTAGAAAGCTCGTTACATAAATTGTTTAATTCGTCGTCGAGTCACCATTATTCGCCGCTCATTGCATTGCATAAGGTGTTTTGCAATGGTTTAAAACTCTATTAAAATCGATTCGTCGCGTAGCATTTTATTTAGAAATAAAAAAAGTTTACACAATTCACAAAAGAAAATTCACACAATTTTTCGTTTATCAAAAAATATAATATAAATATCTGATTCAAAAAATCTATAAACATTTTTATAGATTTAGTTAATCTTAATTTGTCAATTTTGTCACGTATAATTAATGAATGAAATTAATGACAAACATATGTTTAAATGTCCTGCATTTATCGAATTTTTATTTATACAGCTGTCGTTGTAAATTGTACTTGTTTAATGAAGAATCTCTTTTGTGCCATCTAGCGTGAAGGTGTAACGATACAAACGAAAACTCAGGTGAGAATAATCATGTGTAGGGAGATGAATATGCTCTGTTGCATGTTGGGTTGCCCTTCTAAAGGGTGTCCAGTTAATTCATATCCTGTTTCGTCATAGAAAGTGAACAATACTTCAAAGATTCCTTTTTTCCTCTCCTTTAGTATTTAATAATTTTTACTATCAAAATATGAATCGTTTATCAAATATACAATATTTTACTGCATCCATAATATAAAACGATTTATGCATATCAAATAAAAAATGATAATTGTGATTATGATAAACGCTGTGGCAGAAAATGACTTAATTTTATTAAAACATGAATATGCATTCAGCTATTATATTTACAAATTTATATAAGAATTAAAAATTATAATATATTACTGAGAACAAAATTTTTATTTCCAATATCAAATAATTTCCTAAATTTATTATTTATTATTTTTGCGCGAAGATAGATTAACAATAAATTATCCAATAAGATAATTTTAGTAAAATCACTAAATAATTATAATGTGTAATTCAAAAATTCATTGTTATAAAAGAAAAATGTTTAAACAAACAGAGTTTCAGAGTTACTGCTAAAATTAATATCGTGTATCAAAGTTATATCTTTCCCAATATTAATTACGCGTGTCTTCTTTTATTATTTTTTTTTTTATAAAAAATCTTTATGTAAGAATGAAATTAGAAACTCGCTTCCGTTTTCTATTCACTTCATAGACGTAAACTACAAAATATGCACATCGAGACTCAATATTATCGCTATTTCCACCCTATTTTCGTTTGCTCCGCTTTCGCATTGAGATCATTCCGCGAATTCCTCGAAAACCTCAAGCGAAATATAGATCACGAAGTCCGGGATCCACCGTCAACATCAGATTAATCCACCGCTCGGTAATCGAGAGAATGAGGGAGGCAGAGAGGGGGATGAAAGAGAGGGAGAGAGAGAGAGAGAGA